GAAGATCTCATGGCTTAGTCCCTTTGAAATATTTCACAACCTTTCCTATTTATAGAGGAGAATACATTCTCTTGTTTACTCTCACGATCAATGTGGGATGAAGACATTTTAGTTAAACTCATTTCTTTATTTGCCAATAATTTCATTTTGTTAAATAAAATATTAAATAATAAAAATAAAATGTTATCCAGAAAATTTATTGTTCAATAGTTCCATTTTTCAGTAATCTCGTAAGTTGCTATTAAAAATTAAGTTTTTATTGAATAACTTTTTGTTAAATCCTAAAATCATAAATTCAGTTAGGTACTTAATATAGAAAGTTTGTTTATATGTATTTTCATGATTCAAAATGTCATTATAAAATGAATTCATTTATAAAATATAATCGGGTATATATTTCGTGCTTTTGAATCAAAGTGATTTTTCAAACAATTATAATTTTATGATTAGGTAGATTTTTTTATATTTATATAACATTATGTAACTAATAATATTATTATAAACAATTTGAATAATCATGGGAGTTTCAAATGTATGTTGTGAAAGGAAAATGTTTCATTTATCGGTCCAAATTGATCAAACTCGGACCGATTCAGCTTAATATACCAAACTACATAACGTTTTTTCTATTGAAACCCGGTTTGTATATATTTTGTGTTTTTGAATCAAATTTATTTTTCAAACAATTATAATTTTATGTTTAGGTAACTTATTTATAATATTATTAGAAACAATTTGAAAAATCATGGGAGTTTCAAATGTATGTGCTGAAAGGAAAATGCTTCCTTTATCGGTCCAAATTGATCAAAGTCAGACCGATTCAACTCAATATACCAAACTACATTACGGTTTTTCAACTGAAACTCTGTTTGAACCTAAAAAAAATCTTGTTCAAAACCATTTTCGGGATTCTAAAACTTACATGGACAGTCTCAACAAAGAATACCCTCAACATCCTAAAAAGGTAGGCATAAGGAAGTTCTCATGGTTTGGTCCCTTTGAAACATTTCACAACCTTTCCTATTTATAGAAGAGGAAACGTTCTCTTGTTTACTCTCACCGTCGATGTGGGATGAAGACATTGTAATAAAACACGCTTTCTTGTTTATAAAACATTATTCAACTTATTTAGTAAAACACCCTTTCTCTTGTTTACCCTTTCTTTATTGTTCAATAGTTCCGTTTTTCTATAATCTCGTAAGTTGCTATCCAAAAAAGTAAGTTTTTACTGAATAATTTTTTGTTCAATTCTAAAATCATAAATTCAGTTAGGTACTTAATATAGAAAGTTTGTTTATATGTATTTTCAAGATTCAAAAGTTCATTATAAAAAGAATTCATTTATAAAATATAATCTGCGTATATATTTCGTGCTTTTGATCAAATCGAATTTTCAAACAATTATAATTTTATGTTTAGGTAGATGTTTTTTTATATTTATATAACATTATGTAACTTTTTTAAAATATCATTGGAAACAATTTGAAAAATCATAGGAGTTTCAAATGTATGTAGTGAAAGGAAAATGCTTCTTTTATGGTCCAAATAAATCAAACTTGGACCGATTCAACTAAATATACCAAACTACATATTTTTTTTCTAGTGAAACCCGGTTTGTATATATTTCGTGCTTTTAAATCAAAGTGATTTTTCAAACAGTTATAATTTTAGGTTTAGGTAGATGTTTTTTTATATTTATATAAAATTATGTAACTTATTTATAATATTATTAGAAATAATTTGAAAAATCATGGGAGTGTCAAATGTTTGTTGTGAATGGAAAATGATTTCTTTATTGGTCCAAATTGATCCAGCTCCGGTTCAACTCAATATACCCAACTACATAATTTTTTTTCTAACTGAAACACGGTTTAAACCTGAAAAAATTCGGTTCAAAACCATTTTTGGAATTCTAAAAGTTAATTGGACACCTGCCAATATAGACAATCTCACCAAAAAATACCTTCAAAATCCTACAAAGGTAGGCATGAGGAAGTTCTCATGGTTTGGTCCCTTTGAAACATTTCACAACCTTTCCTGTTTATAGAAGAGGAAACATTCTCTTGTTTACTCTCACCATCGATGTGGGATGAAGAGATTGTAATAAAACACCATTTCTTGTTTATAGAACATTATTTAATTTATTTATAATATTATTGTAAAGAAATTGAAAAGTAATGAGAGTTTCAAATAAATTTGGTGAAATGAAGTTAAAAAAAGGGGTTTCAAATGCATGAGATTCAAAAAAAAAAATGCTAACTTTATAAGTATGTATGATTGTATCAAAATTCCATCATTGAATTAGGGCCAACATTTATTAGGCGATTGAGTGACTTCTTATATAGTTGATAATAATAAGTAGGGTAGTTAATATGGTTTTAAAAACAGATTCTTTAATTGTCAAGATGGTTGTTAGCTGACAGTTGTTTGCAATTGATTAATATTAATATAAATTATGTAATAGTTAACTATAATATATATATATATATATATATATATATATATATATATATATATATATATATATATATATATATATATATAAAAGAAAATTATTCTGCTACAAGTTTCCTGTAGCAGTCGGATTGTTTCATTAAAGTTTGTGTTGTGCAGGTTTATTTTTAGGTGTCCAGAAAGTTGTAATAGTTTCTATTTTCTCCAATTTTGACCACGTAACATCTCGCTAGTGTTAATTAATTAAGAATATTTATGTGTTGTAAAAAAAAAAGTTTACTACATGCTATATATGAATATCGACATACATATTCTATTTGTAAGATTACATGCATATCCTTTGAGTTCTCTGTATAACAAGAACTGAATTGTTTTTCTTTCTTTTGCTTTTAAAAAGCCTTCATGAACGTATATATTGACTGAGCAAACACTTGACTTGGTCCATATTGTTGAGCTCATGAGCATTATATTATTGATCTTGTGCTCCACTATCCCCAGCCACTTTATTGACCTCACACAATATTACATATGATATCACATGGATTGGATCACACCCATGATGTTCCTAATTGAGCCATATTTTAACAAATATAAATTAACCTACTTAATTTCAAACATACTTTTATTCCTAACTATATATTGTACACATATTAAAAATATTTTATTGATTACTAATCAGTCGAACAAAAGCCTAACGTAGGTTAGTTAAATAGACAAAATAGTTGCCAAACCCATGGCCGGAAGATCAAGAGGCATGCACTATAACTTTTTAATACTGGTCACGAACGTGTCTAACAAAAACTCTGAAAAGATCAATCAATGGAAACATATGATTGTTATATACAGTTTCTGCTGGTACCTACATGACCAAGTCCATATCTAGGGCCAATGGGTAAACTCTTGCAAGCTTGTGAGTGTTTCCTTTTGAAAATTTGTTTACTGGGACCAATCTTGTCTCATAAAGTTTGCCAAACCATTATAAAGTTAATTTTTGAGATGTCATTTTAGCATAAAATCACAAAGAAGTTGATGTTGTACTTGCCATTCAATTACATCGAATACCCACTAGTTGAAATTCTGGACTTTTCATATACCTGATAAATAATAATCTACTTTACAAAGAACTTTTCAAACATTGATCTATACATACCAAGTACAAGTAAATTACGAGACCTTTTTCCACGCTTAAGAAATGAATTAAAGGTAATTAAATAAAACCAATAATTTATGTTAAAGCAAAGAGTTGAAAATAAGCTCTTGCTTGAGACGCAAAAGCATATGAAGTTGACTCGTTTTGTAAATGAGATACATAATGATGCGCAATGCAAGATGTTATCGTTACTTGTATAGATTTTGTTAGATAGAAATCATTTTGATTAAATTTTCTCATAATGGTTGTTCGGGAACAAAAGATTGTAATTGTACATATAAGGGGAATCTTTATTTTGCCTAATATCTAGAAGCTTTAATTTGGATATAATTGAACTGTATTCAGTATTCACTATTCATTTGATTATCTTTTATAAATTTCGTAAATTGTCCTATACTTCACTCAAAACATGATTTTTAATTTTCATATAGTTCAGTATAATCAAATACTACATATATATTTGATGCACAAGCAAATATACATCCATATAGTTGAATAATGGATTGATCGATATTTTTCTTTTATGATAAAAACATGTATATTATGCAATGCAAATTAATATGAAAACATGGAAATTCCAAATCTGAAAAATGGGTAGAGAAATAAAAGTAGGCAATGCATAAATTTGACTGACTATGTGTACATGTGGGGAATGACTAGTGCTCCTTCTAGGTGTATACAGCCATGCAGATAAATATAAAAGAATGCAGCCACATCTTTAGTTACCCTACGTGCCCATCAAGGCGTCACAAATTTCTCATGGAAGAAGATTAAGAACTAGTTGTCAATAATGTGTTACAAATTAATTATGATACTAACTAATTCCAAAAATTTCTTGGTTACAAATACTTTGTTTTTCCGTATACATATAATTAAGTGTGCATTAATCATTTTGGAAGGTTTTTATTTTGTAGTTCTTGTGCATATAAAATGAAGTTAATTCTATGTTCAATTGGTGCAAAATGATGATGATGATGAACGATAACTAATAAAATAACTAAGAATTTCATCATTCTATAATCATCGCAACATGTTGCTTTCTAGTTTTTCTATTATTTCAGAAATAACATATCATTATTGAAATTTATGGTGTATTATGCACCTAATTCTTAATTATTATTCATGTAACTATAACCAACACGTTAACTAAATGTTGTCAATAAAAGTGTATATATAAAAGCTGGAGACAAATGATTTTAGTATGATCTTTGCACATTCGTATGTTTAGTCGGATATATCCTTCTAAAATTCCTATGTTCTAGTCTATTTCCATGCAATCCCACTTAATAATTCTGACAGGTAAAGTATGAATCAATCTACTTGTATATTACAGATAAGATATATAACGTGAGGATAATGAAAGTAGCGTACAAGAAAACAACGTTTGCATGAGTGTAATGGATAAACTAAGAAATCTCAGTAAATCAGAATGAAAGTGATAGTGAATTAAGAAAAACAAATTAAATAAATACCCCATGAAAATGCCACAACGATTTGTCCTCAAATAGATTCGATGTCAACACTTACCGCATGCTAATTTGTACCCTCCCTAAACTCTTACTGAAACCGACTAGGCTGCTGATCACGATGACAATTTTGCATTACCTCACGTCGGCAATCTTCATAGGCCATTTGAGGAGGAGCGCATACAAGAGTTTCACCCCAGCTAGGTGTACTTTCTGCAGAAGAACTTGTACAATTGCTTCCATTAATGAGATTATCCAAACCCCCTACCAACCCATCAAACTGGTCTAATTGTGTGGTGTTGTAAACCAATTCATTGATCTCATACGGGTAATTGTTAAATTCTTGAAACAGGTTTATTCCATCCCCATTTGGATAATAGTGTGTGTTTGCCAACTGGGGATGATAAGCGGTAGTAGAGATAGGTTTTTCACAGTTCTGGTGGAACATTTCGGCTTGGTTTGAGGTTGTGTCAAAAGGGTATTGGTTGAAATTGGGAACTTGGTTTTTGACATGAAGTTCTTGATGAAGTTGATCAGGGTTTGTGAGAATCAAAGGGAATTCTGAAGGCCAGTATGATTGATAAAGATTCATGCTCATGCATAAAGATGGTGCCTTTAACTCCTCAAACACCTCTCTCTTCATTTCTTGCTTGACTTGCGCACCTCTCTTTGACGATTGTTGATCTTTACGCTGCTTTCCCAAAAGCTTTTTCTTTAGCCTCGTGTTCCAGTAGTTTTTTATATCATTATCAGTTCTTCCAGGTAATTGTGCTGCGATGATAGACCACCTTCAAAACAAATTAACAATTTATTACCATGTTCTTGACACATAAGTAATGAATCGTGTGTTAAAAGAAAGTTGAATATTCATCCATATATTACCGGCTTCCAATACTAAGATATAGGGTGCAAATGATGTGATCTTCTTCTTCGGAGAAAGATCCATGCTTTATGTTTGGGCGAAGATAATTTAACCATCTAAGGCGACAACTCTTGCCACACCTTTTGAGTCCTGGTCAATTAATTAAAACTACTGAATATATATATAATAAAATTGTTAAAGTTTGATCAAGATATATAGTAGTTATCTTGTATCAAACATTAAAACATATACAAGATTGATTAGATCAGCTTCTTTGGGTGTTATTTTATGTAACGATTGAAGAAGGTGGAAAAGGATTACCGATTTTGTGAGGTAGAGCAATCCAGTTGCCTCCGGTGCCATGTTCTTCAATGTAAGACTTGAGTTTGGCATCTTCTTCAGGTGACCAAGGTCCTCTTTTGACGTTGGCTTTGTCACAGCAAGGTGCTCTTCCCATTGTAATTATTAGGATTCTTGGTGATACCTTTTGCTTCTACTTCTGCTTCGATCAAGTGGAGTTGTTGATGTTTGGTTTTATCTCTTTATTCTCATATACCCATGCCTTTAGGGTACATGATGATGATAATAATAATATATCTACAGATATATATAAATATAGATATACAGACAGAGAGAGGGGGTGAGGGGTGTTGTTTGCTGGAGAAGAAAGATGAGGATTAAAGAGAATGATCACTGGATTTTCAAAAAGGTGAAGTTGGAAAAAGAGGCATGAAGCTTTGAAATACTATTAATTATATTAAATTAAATTAATTAAAAATTAAGAGTAATAGAATAAGGAGGCAACCCGGAATGCCACAACTGTTAGCACCAGGTATTTTCTCATTTGTCTTTCTCCCACCTCCAGAATCTCTGTCGTTACATTGTTATTTTTATATGCATTCGTTTTCTTTACCAGTTTCTATTTAACAAGTTATATAGAAGTAGTTATTATTATTTTGTTTACTTTTTTTATTTAACCACTGTTTTTAAAATCTTTCCAATAAAACAGCATAAATTTCGAACTTTTTTTTTTCAAAATAACCACCATTAACTCTTTACTATAACTGGCAAATGTGGAATCAATAACCGGCCAATTGATTCCTTATACAAGTGAAACTAAAAAAAAATTGAAGAATAAAAAATTCTAGTTGTGGATCGGGTTGTACTACTTCGAACATTTAAACATGATTCAGTAGTTATATTAAACTTCTTACAATTTGGCTCAACGAAGTCTTATATCTTGAAATATTTTTATAATTGTATCATTATCGACACTTTTTTAAACACTTTTTTTGAAAAAGGACACTACACTGTCACTCAAATTGATCATCCATTTTGTTGTGTATCTCTTTATCGACTTTGTTGTTAAAAATGTGTGATCCATATTTGTTGTTACAACGAGTAACATCAATGCAAATTTCAATAGAAGATAAATCTTAGAAAAAAATTTATGCTTCTTTTCTTCGACAACCTTTTTGGTAAGGTCTGCAATGCTCTTCAAACGATTAAATCGTTCATCTTGTCGCACATCTTTTACTTAATTTCAAAGTTTTACTTCAAGAACTCGAAGATCATATTTTGTTGGAAACTCTTTCCGCTAAAGTGTAGCCATTTTCTTTATTTTATCCAAACTAAAGGCTTTGAAAGACTCACTCGTGCACAAACAAACATTACAAACAAGTAAATTCGTGTTGACTTCATTTAAATGATATTTTAGCTCTTGAAGTTGCATAGAAATCAGCGTCTTAAAAACATCAACATGATATTAGTACAAATTGTTAACCTTTAAATAAAAAGAATGTTTTATATATTAATAACTAATGAAAAAACACAATAAATAAATAAATCAACTTCGTGGTCGATAGTAGCACACATTACCAACATGTAAACATCTTCAACGATTTTATTATATTATGCATCTTCCATATCCACGACTTGAACTTTATTTTTATCACAAAACAAAGTAAACTTCCTTAAAAGTGGTATCTATCCTACATCCTTAATCTCTTATTTCTTAAATTGCTTTTTTAAAGCTACTTACTTGATTCATGGCATTTATAATATCTTGGTATTTTTTTTGTAGTGTTCTATTTAAATGATACGTGACTCCCAAGATATCAATCATCAAGTATAGATGAAAAACATAATCAAACGCTTTTAATGACTTTAAGATGCAAATTGCTTCAGCTTTACGATCAAGATCATAGTTATCTTTACCAAGGTCTTTAAGTAAATCACAAATGGAACAATATATGGTCTGGATATTTAATAAATGTGAAAAAAGAGAACCCCATCAAGTATCAGATGGTCGTTTAATACCTACTTCTTGATTCAAATAGGTACAACTGTCAAGCTCACCTAAAATATACCATATACAGAGTTAAGTAGCATAAAGAACTGAAAATATTTACAAATAATTAAATAGTCAATTAATTTACTATAATACAAACCTTGAGTCAATGTTGTCATAACTTTAGTTTCTTGTTTTTTTTTTTTAAATATCTTGTTGTTTATAAAAAGATCTAATAAGATTTAACAATAGAGAAACCACATCCAAGAAATCATTAACATTTGTGTGATTCTTTGCAACAAATACTAGGGCTAACTATAACCGGTGAGAAAAGCAATGAACAAAGTATGCTAATTTTGTTTCATTAATAATCTAAGTCTTCAATCTGTTGAATGCATCGCTCATGTTACTAGCACAATCATACACTTGTCTTTTGATCCTCGTATTCCTCGATAATATAAATGGTATCCTTTAGTGACAAATTTGAAGTGTCACTAACTTTTCTAAGACCAACAAAGCTTTCTACAATTTCATCTTCTATTAACAAAACACAAAATCAGTGACATATGTTCTTTACATGACACATCATGTGACTAGATCGTCTACTAAAATTGTTAAACAAATACTTTTCAAGATCTTCCATAACTCAAAATTGCATCTGAACACGCGTACAAATATCTTTCTGGATTTCACCGCATTTCATTTATACGCTTTTAGATCATTCTTTCACACAACACGATCTACAACATTAAATCAATCGGCTAACCATTGTAATAATTCAAGAAAGTTACCTTCATTTTGTGAGTCTTCTTTCTTGGGATGATCATAGAATGTTAGTCATTGTCACAATAGGAATCTAACACAATCAATTGAATGATTCATTTGAGAACAATATTCTTTTTCTTGTAAAGTAGTTTGTAACGGATTGTCTTTAGGTGATCAAATTTTTACACATAAACAACAAGAGTATGTGGTGTTGCAACTTTGTGACTTTCTATTTGTAACTTCCTATTCCATGCTTTGAATTCGAATTTCAAAAAATGTTTTAGTCCACCTTGGTTTGGTATACTCGTTTTAGATAGATGACAATATAAACAAAATCAATCATCCTCTTTTACACTACATTTGTTAAAGACTAAATTGGTTTTGTATGTCTGTTTTGAAACTGTATTTCTAGTCTTTGTATATTTTGATTTCAATGTACTTTAATAAAAATTATTTTGTTCATTCATTTCTATTAATAGTTTCGAAGTAATTGAGCTACACATGCATGATTGCTCATTCGAAACGCACATGTATTGTATCATGCATGCTCGTATCGCACCATATCTCAAAGAATCTTTTCTTTTAAATTTGATGACATACTAGGCTTCACGTGGCGTTCCATAATGGGTTGATTGCTGTAACGCCCGTGTGTTCTGGGCTAAGCATTAATATAATGATGTAATAGACAGGGTCAACCATTGTAACTCATTTTGAAGTAATAAAGAGGAATTATGTGAATATTATTTGAATTATGTGTTTATATATTTGTTTATAACGATATAATAAAATAAGAATGAAAATAAGCGTCAAAAATAAAATAATAGATAAACCCGATATCTATGAAGAACGTTTTAGTGGTCGTGACAAGGATCCCGGAGATATAAAGAACGCTGAAATCCAAGTTATAACGAAGAAGTTATGACTTGTCGAAGTTTTACGGGGAAACCGACACGGCACCGCGTAACGTAAAAAGTAATTTTTTGATAAAATAATTTTTAGCCTTAGCGATCTAAAAAAAAGTCATAGTATACGTTAAACCGAGAGTGTGCATAAAAAAGAACGTCCAAATCTGACTTCGTATGAGGAAGTTACGATTTTCTAAGATTTAGCATAACAGTGCACAACCCGGAATTTGAATTTTAGATCAGTCGATTTTTAGCCAAAATAATCTAAACGAGAAATGAAGATATAGTTAATAGGAGTTCAACGATATAAAGACAGTCGAAAACGGAGCTCGTATGCGAAAGATATGGACGAAACTTAGTCCCTACTCTTCGAGCGCGGCGAATTCGATATAGTTTTGTAAATCCGAGATAGAATGAGAATTAGCCATAGGGATCTAAATGAAAGTTCTTGTACTCATAAATACCAACACGTGGATATAAAGAACGTCGATAATAGAGCTCGTATGTTAAAGATATGGACGAAACTTAGTCCTTTATCTTCGAGCACGATAAATTCGATACAGTTTTATAAATCGGAGATAGAATGAGATTAGCCGACGGGGTGTCACACCCCCAAACCAGAGCGGCGGAAACGTCCGGGGGTGGATGACTTCATATTTAAGTATCACAACACATGCATCATAGTAATCAAAGTACAACAACTATTGTATTAAAGAAATAATAGTTTTACATGTGTGTTCCATCATTGTATATTGACACCAAAATACATATAATAAAACAAAAGACGCAACTCTAAACTACTTCGTCTTCAAAAGCTTTGGAAGGTACCTGATTATTGGTTCCCTGAGAATACAAGTATTTTGAAAAAAAGAGTGTATCAACATTTAAGTTGAGTGAGTGCATAAGTATTTATGTTTAAAAGTTTTCTAACTGATCCTTGAAAGAGAGAGTGTGTTCATTGTTCCAGAAAATCCTATATTTTCTGATGCAACTAAAATGTAGTTTTAATACCATAAAACCGTATAAAGAACGTTTTCTGTATTGTTTATGTTTTTCCATGTTTTGTGATTGTTTTCTAAGAAAATCCTGTAAAAGTGAGTATACCAGGCTCCACCATCCGTAATTGTAAAGTAATACTGTAAATCGTATTATTATAAAACCAGTACTTTGTATTCGTACTCTTTGGTTTAATTAATTATATACTAATCGTATTTGTTCATATCTTTTTAGTGAGTTATTATAACCATACTATCACTAACTGCCTGCTATGACGCTTTGTAGGCGTCAGAACTGTTAACGACATTTGTCACTCATAGGCATGCATGCCCGGCTGTAGCTAACAATCTGAGTGCGAGATTGTCAATCCCGTATAGATCTATACACATTTGTCTCGCTCTCTATCCGGAGATTCTGGTTATAATATCAGGACTTTATCTGTATTGCCTAAATGAATAAGCAACTAAACATTGTCTCACAAAAAGCATATAGACGATTACATATATCACAAATGATTAAAAGTCATTTTTGAATAAATGATAAACTGATAGAATGATCTTTCTCTAGTATTCTTGAATGTAAAGTATTTGTACAAGAGTAATCTATTAAACTTTGTATAACTACTTTGTGATAATAGTTTAGGAATTCCATAAATTATACCTATTATAATTTATATATGTTTTCTGTTTGATATGTAATATTCATGAAAGTATTCCCTTTGCTTGACATGTTACAAAGGGAATA